CCCACTAGCCGATCCTGTCCCCCAGAGGGGCCTGAGTTCCCACCTTACCACTTGCATGCTGGCTCTCTGAGTCCAGCGTGGGCTGTTTTTACCATTTCCACCCTACCGTCTGTGTGCCCAGGGTGTGGCCCTCATTTCTCGCATTTCTGCTCTGCGGTGCATGTCCTGTCTTTTCTCTTCTGGTCTCCATGTGCCACCCCTTCCTCTGAGAGGTCTTCCTCCCACCTCCTGCCTGAAGAATCCTGAGGACACAGGAGCCTGGCAGGCAGGGTTGCAAAGAGTTGGACACGACTGAGCAAGTGAGCACACACCTCCCACCTCCTATCGCCAGTGCTGCACGTGGGGGTGCGCTCTGGCCCAGGGGCGGCCCAGAGCTCCATCCCCAGTGGCTGGCCAGGAGGTGGGCCCCACTCCTGTCTGTCTCAGCCCTTCCCATCCCTCCCTCCCTCTGGTGTCTCAGCAGCCAGGTGGGGGAGCCCTCTGAGAACATGTGGCCGCAGCCAGGCCCCTGGTGCCTGTCTGGATCCTGATGGAGCTCAGAGGCCCCCTCACCCTTGCCTCTCCAGGGACTGGCTTCTGTGAGCTCATGCGCACTCCTGGTGCCCAAATTTGTCTGAGCTTGTTTTTGTCACTTCCAGCTATAAGACACACTCCTGGGGACCTTGTCCATACCTGTATCTGTTCTATCATAAGCAACAGACCACCCAAAATGTAGTGGTTTTGTGTGATAAAATTTCATAGAAACACACACACACAGCATGTCAGACTGGTGAGACCTAAATAAGGTCCGTATCTGGGTGAGTAGTTACCCTCTCAAGGTCAGTTTCCTAGTTTGTACAGGGTACATGATGCTGTGGGGTTGCTGGGGGACGTGGGTTGAAGGGTACAGGAGAAATAGCAATACTAGTTTTGTAACTCTTGGTGAGTCAAACTATTTCAAATGAACAATTTATAATAATAACACAGGGACTCTCCTGGTGGTCCAGGGGTTAAGACTCCACTGTTCTGCTGTAAGGGGTGCAGATTTGATCTTTGGTTGGGAACTAAGATCCCCACATGCTGCATGGCACAGCCAAAAAATTAAAAAAGCGAAAACAACATACTTAGTAGCTTAAGATAACACCAGGCGTTTACTCCTGATCCTGCGATTTGGGCACTGCTGGATGGGGACGGCTGATCTCTGCTCACCTGGGGCTGGGGCACCAGCTGAGATGCTGCACCAGCTGGGGCTGGCGGGCATCTGTCTCCCCACAAGGTCTCTCCAGCAAGGCAGCTGCGCCTCTTTACGTGGTGGCTCCAGGCCCAAGAGGGTGAAAGCGGAAGTGACAAGGCCTCCAATGCCCCCGACCAAAATTAGCCTGTGTCCCTCTGGCCACATTCCATTGGTCAAAGCTGACCCAGGGCCAACCCAGATTCAAGAAGAAATACCACTTGGATGCATGTTTTCTGGGTTTAGCGTGGAATGTTCTTCCATGAGATGGAGGAAGTGGCAGAGAACCTGTGGCATCTTTAACGCATGGCCATCACTGATGTGTCAGGAGCTTCTGAATTTGCCTCTGGGGGTCTGGTCCAGCCTCCTCACTGGGGATGTGGGGATGGAGGCTGGAGAGTGGAGAGGGGGTCAGCCACACAGAGGGGCGTGGGTTTAGGAGCAGAGCTGGACTGCTAACCCAGCTCACCCCACATCACCCCAGGGACGCCCCAATTTCACACAGTGCAGCTTCACTAGCCTGGCATCACTGCTTGGGATTCTGTTTTGCACGTGCTGGTGTTTGCAATCAAAAAGTTCAGCGGCCCTTCCAGTGTGCTTAAATTAGTCCCCACGGAAACCAAATCATTTCATTTGCAGAGAAGGGCTTAATTGCAAGGGGAACGAGGCAAAGGGAATTCTGTTGCCTGTTTTCATTGAAGAAAATTACTGTACTTTCCCCTGTCTTCCTTACTAAACAGAAGCAGCTTAGAAATTGGGCTGTAATCACCAGTGATACCTCTCCTACCCTCTCTTCTCAGAGCCTACTCAGCAATTCCCGGCTCCCGAGACCTTACTCCAGGTTGTTCCTGCCCACCCACCTGGCAGGGCAGCCTGATCCCAAGTCCTGGTGCTGGGCAGCATCTCCCTGGTTTGGCTGGAGTCTCTCCTCACCCCTGTGATGTTCAGAGGATTGTCTGCAATGTTACTGGGGCCTCAGCCAGGGACTGGCCCACACACTTGGCAGGAAGAAACACCTCAACTCTTTCTTCAGAAAACACATGAAGTGGTCTTCTCTGGCAGTCCAGTGGTTAAGACTTCACGTTTACAATGCAGGGGGCGTGAGTTCGATCCCTGGTTGGGTAATTAAGATCCCATATGCCACAGAGTAGGGCCAAAAAAAAAAAGAAAACACATGAAATCTGCTCCAAGCTCCTACTCACCAGGGCCGCAGAGTGGAGGCCTGGCGTGCTGTGGTCCATGGGGTCGCATAGAGTCAGACATGACTGAGCGACTGAACTGAACTGGGGGCTGGTCTGCTTTAGTGCCTGGCAGAAGGTAGGGAGCCTGGGCCATCTGCACCTTCTGCTGTGGGCTGGCAGGTCCCTGGGGCTCGGTCTCAGAGGAGGAAATCCAGCAAACAGACCCCCTCCTGCCTGGGGAAGCTGGTTCCCTCTCTGCTTCTCTGCCCAAGAGCCCCACCCTGGCTCTGAGACTCCAGCCCGTTTGCCTCCGTGGCCAGTGTTTCCCTGGGGAGGCGCTATGGGCCCTTTCGGAAGCCAGGAAGCAGGCTGGTAACCTGCAGCAGGGAGGTGCGTGAGGAAGCGAAGTGTGTAGCACTGCTGGTGTTGAGCCCAGAGAGTGTGCAGTGTGGGGTGCAGCCACAGCTCCCCGTGGGGATGGCAGTCTGGAGATCAGGGTTGGGAGAGGCAAGAACAGAGGCTCACGGGGAGCGGTGGGCCTGGGGAGGGCCGCGAGGGGTGGGGCCTGAGTAGAGGGAGGAGCCTCCAGGGTCTCCGTGAGGTCCCGGTTGTTTGTCTGGAACAAGGTGGTTCCATTCCGTTCTGGCAAACCCTCCGCAACACAACAGTTCTGAGCACAGACTCCCTTCTTTGGAGAGGAAAAGAGAGGCAGGCCGTCTAGGTTCACACCCTGGCTCCGTTACCTTCCTGACCTCTCCGAGCCTCAGTGCCCGCCCAGGAGGGGATAACAACAGCACCCGCCGCCTGGGGGCATCATGAGCGCATCATGAAGCTATCATATGCTGACTAATTGTATCATGTCTTTTAAAAGAACTTCCTCTGCTACAGGGATACGCTGATTAGCCCGAGGTGATCCTGAGAAGGCTGGGTGCCCACCTCTACCCACTGGAAACAGCACCAAGCGGCATGCTGCCCCTCACTCACCGCCTCCTCCCACCCCGCCCCCCTTCCCGGGGACCCTCTGCTCAGATCCTTTTCTCTCAAGCTTGCTCCGGGACGGGCGTGCAGAGTTGACCCGGCTGCCCAAGACGTGCTGCTTGGAGACGTTGGGCTGACTTCTGAGTCAGGCTCTCGTGATCCCCGCTTTTGGAGGAGGCCGACAGGATAATGGATTTGAGTCCACACACCTGTCTCAACAAAAGGGTTTTTTTTTTTGAGGCTCAAAGTCAATGGTGTATTAATTAAGGGGGAACAGCTGCTACCGCAGTTCTTATGATAAGTCAGTGACAAATGGCTGTGTTTACCTTTTTCCCAAGCAGAGACTCTGGAAGGTGGCCTGGAGCTCCTGGGTGCATGTCCACGGGTGAGATTTGTGGGGTGCACCTCTCCCTCCCTCAGCCATCAAGCTTCTTTACTGGTGCCCCCCAAGCCCGAGAGGGCCGTTCGTCACCGAGGAGGACAGGGCTGTGGCCTGGGGAGCCCGGGAAGGGGCCAGCGGAAACTTCTCAACAGCGGGCCCCCCCCCAATAGATGCCCTCAGAGCCCTTCGTCAGGCAAACCCCACCGCCTCGTGCTGTTCCTAGTGAAATGAGAGCTGCTAAAAGGGGGGGCTTGGCCCTTCAAAGCTGAGAAAGGCGGCAGAGCTGAGTGGGGCTGCCTGCAGGACTGAGGATGTTGCTTGCCCGCCTGGGGCCTTTGTGCCAGGCGCTCTCCACCATAAAGGAAGGGGCTGGGCGGCGGGGGCCTTTTGTTATTTCTTTTATTTTGATCTTGCTCCTGTTCTCCAAACAGCTTCACAGAAATAGAACCTCGTGTTAGCTCCCTTCTCAACTTAAGACAAAACATGGCAGTGGGGAAAATCTTGCACTGAAAACCAGAAAAGGGAAGATGGGTTTGTTTTTTCCTGGGTTGTATTTCTGGGTCCTTGACTATCAATTTACCCTCCGAGTTTCCAGCTGATGGGAGGATGGCAGGATGGTGCTAACCTGCCAGTCGCACCTGTTGGCCGGGCAGTGGGGCGGCCTTCCCCCAAGGCTGACAGGAAGGCCCACTGCACGTGGCGCTGACCCCCACTGCTAGCAGCTCACCCACGGTGCCCCAGGGTACAGCCAATGCTGGTAGAGAGCGGTAGGACCCCAAAGCCCCCCCAGCAACCCTCTGGCTCCATTGGGGGCACTCCCACACATCCCCTGAGCTGTGTTCTCCCCAGTGGCCAGCCCTGAAAAGACAAGTTTGCCATCAATGTCCACTTCCTGCCTCTCTGGGAGTCACCATCAGTGGCCGAGACACCCTGTCCAACCTCACCCAGTTCTTTCTCCCCCTCCTACGGAAGGTGCTCAGCACCTCTGGGAGCCTCTGGGGCCTCAAGGGAGGCAGAAATGGGGCAGGAGAAAGCGGCACGTATCTTTTGAGTTCAGCCTGCAGGGCAGCGTCGTCACACTGTGTTATAAATTGGAAACTGAGGGTCCAAGGTGTGTGATTTGCCTGAGGCTGCTCCCGCCTTCTCCTGCAGACCATGTCTCCCTGGCCAGCACTTAATAACTCTGCACGTTGCCTCTCCTTACACATTGCTTTGAGGGGAGAGGAAAGAACCACGGACGAGAACCACATCCATTTTTAATAAGTATTTATTTATCCAACAGTTTCAGCCCTGATAGTGAAGTCTGCTGCAGTTTCTTCTGGCTGGAGCCCGCTTATGAGACCTGCTTTGCCACGGGGCAGGCGCTGGGATTCCAGGCCCGCCCATCACCCCAGACATCAGAGGAAATGAGAGAGTATTGCTCAAATGAGGGAGACTGGTGCTTTATTAAGGAAACAAAAAAGACCAGTAAGACCAGAGAGAGCTGCTTAACGCCTTTTGGAGGCAGCTGTTCCATCTCCTCGGCTCACCCCCTCCACGGCCCGCTGCGGACGAGAGCCTGCGGGGATGCAGCTCAGCCGGAGGGGCCCCCGGCCCTGAGCTCATCAGGCCCCTGCGAGGGTTTGGGGGTGCTGGGTCGGCCTCACCCCTACCTGGAACCCAACAGCAGAGGTTCCGGCAAATCGCCCCGGGGTGGGGAGGTGGGGTGGTCACTGTCAACTCAGCGATCCTCACCCACCGGGAGTTCCAGGCTCCTCGGGGCCACCCAGCTGGCGGCAGCCCGACTGGCCTCTCTGGAGGGTTCCTTCCGGGAGGTCACCCCACCTGCTCAGGCCCCCAGCCAGAGCCGGGGCGCGCCTAGGCCGTGTCTAAACAGTTCTCCTGGGGTACTTAGTTCTAACTTCCAGCCCCTTCCCCTCGGGATCACAGGCCCCACCCAGCTCAAGGAGGCTTTCTCCCTCACTCCTGGGATCCCCAGGAACACCCCGAGAAGGCACATGACCAAGCTGCTCCCCGCGCCCTGCTGCCCCAGCCTGCCACCCCAAACCACCTCCCGCAGGTGCGGTGGGCCCACCAGGCGCACACTTGCTCTGCAGGGGCTCATGGCCCCTGCGCTTTTATTTCTTCGTGAAAAACCAACCCGTCTCCTCTTTCTGCGAGCAACACTGGGCAGAGCGGATCGGCCAGATGCAGAGGCAGCTGCCCCCTGTCTCCTTCCCTTGCCCCCTGAGGACGCTCACGTTTTCCCACAGAGCCCGTCTCTGCAGAGTCTCACACCTTTGAACCAAGGTCAGGAGGCGGGTGAATCAAGGCAAGTGTGAATTCAGCACCAGCAGGGCGTGGCCCTCTCGCATCCCGGAGTGGACTGGCCTGGGACAGGCTGATTAGGTACCAGCCCCCGCCCAGGGTTTATCGCTCTGAGTCAGAGAAGGAAGAGGGCTTAGTCCATCTCCACACCAGCATATCTTCCCCGGCCACGCGGTGGGACTCAGTCTGGATCCGGGATTCGTTGGAGGCCAGGAACTCCACCGCCCGGTCCCACACCCGCTTCATGCGCCTCCTGTGGAGACGGGGAGGGGAGGGTCAGGAGGCTAGCGGGCCCAGGGCTGCCAAGGGAGCTGGGCTGTGGATGCCCTCTGTACCAAAGCTGGGAGCACACCCCGAATTTATCTATCTGAGGGAAGAGTGGTCAGGTGCTAACAGGACTCTTGCAGAAGAGAGAAATTTCATGAGCCCAGAGAAATGCTTCCTCAACCGTCTCTGCTCCAAAAGCTTTCAATTAAAGGGAGCTGAAAGGGGCTGCAGCCCCCCCACCGCAGTTGTCCAAGTGGGAAGACTCTTGCTAGGACTTGATACTGCGGCAGGCCCACCGCCCCCCTCCAGTGCGGGCTGCATTTTAATGTCTCGTGTGGGCTAATTAGAGAGTGACCACTGGGCTGTTGAGTCCAGACTCCACAGCACTTCAGGGGATGGGGCTGAACTAAGCCTGCAGCAGGGGAGGCCTGGACGTTGGAGCTGCCTGTGGAGACAGAGCCCCCAGATTGGGCCGTCTTTGCAGTGACCAGAGCCCCTGCTCTTTGAGGTCCCCAGGGCCCTGCACCCCCTCAGACAGTCTCCTATTTCCTCTTTGCTCCTCTAGACCAGAGAGGAAGATCCCAGAGTGGTGGGGGAGGGCTGCTCTGACATCTACCCTTTGGTGAGACCCAGCCTCATGTCTGACTGCAGACCACTCTCCAGCACCCCAAGCATGCCGTGAAATGTGGGGGTGTGTGGAGCAGGGCGTTCAGTGGGAAGCGCAGATAGAGGGAAGCTCCGGAGGTGGCCCCTGACTCAGGAGGCAGAGCGGGGTCTCAGGGCTTTCTTCCAGGGGGGGGTCAGGTCCAAACTCCTGGGCTGTTCAGCAGTCCTCACTTGGCTGGTCTGGCCCTGGCCACAGCGCGCCAGGGACTGAGACCTCACAGCGGGCTCCTGAGCTGGGAGGGACGGTGGCCTCACTCAGCCCCTTCCCGGGCCGCCCATTACCAGGTGATGAACAAGCTGCCCCGCGTGCCTCCCTGAACAAGCTCTTCAGATCTCCCTCACCGCCCACAAGCAGGCCCTCTCCGCAGGGCAGCGCGCCCACGCAGGGCTGACTGGCCGCCTGTGTCCCCATGAGCCAAGGGCTCGGCTGTCCTGACCGAGTGGCCACCAGCGGCCTCCCCGAGAGCTGGAGGGCTGCGGGGTCTCGTGCGGGGGCCCAATGGCTAGGATAACTGGTCACCCTATACTGTGTCGGTCCGTGGGAGGCTCCTGGGTCGGGGTGGACGTGAGGGCCTCAGCATCCTCACGTCGGAAAGGGGCCTGTGCAAGCTCTGCCTCTCCAGCTCCTCCTGGACGGACAACCAGAGCCCGGCACTGGGAGCAGAAAGGCCCCAGCCCACCGCCTCCGAGCAGGCTCCTTGCCGTCCTTATGCCTCAGGGTTCTTCAGCTGTAAAGTGGGGTCCTCGCCGTTCCCCCACCCAGGACCATGCTTGAGGGTGGAGTGCGAGAGCTGCACCCATGGAGGGCTCAGAGCGGCGCCCAGCCCGCGGCAAGCACCCAGCGAGGGGGACTGCTTAGCACCACCCGAGAGGGTGGCATCTGGCTGGAGAACTGTGCAGAGTCTGAGCCCACACTGCGGTGGGCCCTCCCTGCTGGCCACCTCCTGGGACTCTCCCCTGATTCGAGCCCACCCCTGGTTTTGTCAGGGATCCATCCAGCATCTGCAGCCCACAGGGACAGAGGTCCCGGAGTCGTGCATGAGCGGCCGGCCAACTCCTCCCACGAGCCGTGAGCCCATTCACTGCTGCGAAACGCTGTTTCCAAGTACAGGCGTGTGCATTTGTGTATGGGAATTGGACTGTGCTAGCTTAGGTAAGACGTGTTTCTGACTGTGCATCATGGCTAAAGTCGTATGAAAAACAACCTCCTCTTCCTCGCCAGTAACTGATTCAAGGAGAGATGAGTCCCTGGCCAGTGGGACCTCAGAGCTGTGTCCCTAGTGGCTTCTGGGGATGCTTTCCCTTGCTCAGGAGAGCGGCAGGGGGCCCACCTCCCCTCCGCCGGCTACACGGCCAGTGCTGCTCTGCCTGTCAGCCACGACTCTGCGCCCACGTGGACCTCCCGCCAGCTGACAGCATCCAGAGGGCAGAGCAGGAGAGTTCCAGAGCGGTGGAACCAGAGACCTGACCGTTCTGTCCCTGACCTCCATTCGTAGAGCCCCATCAGGCCCTTCCCCGCAGAGCCACTCAGGGAGGAGGAGACCGAGGACACGCTGTGCAGAGAGGCAACGCTAACAGCGCTGCCGTCTCCAGAGCAGGGGGACCACGCCTCTGCACCGCGCGTCCGCATTCTGCCCTAACGAGTGATGGCAGGGGGCAGAGGTGGGGACGGAGCCTCACGCCGGGACCCCGGGGTTGATGGCCCCCGCCCTGCTCGACTCCCGCGGCGCTCAGCGAGGTCTGCCTGGAGACTCACCGGCTCTGTGGCGGGATCAGGGTGTCGCGCACGTGCAGGATGCCCACGTAGGGATAGCGCTCCATGTCCTGCTCCCAGTCCACGTAGTGGTCCTGGACCACGTCTGCAGGACAGAGGGTGCTGTTCAGAGCGAGGCCCCTCGGCGGGGGGGCCAGCAGCCCTCTCCCGGGGGCCACACACCTATGATCTTCTTCACCATCTCATACATGGCCTGCTCCTCCTCTTCCAACTTCCGCCACCGGTACTTCAGGAGGATCAGGAGCCCCCACAGGAACGCCAAGCCTGGGAGGGGACACGGCCTGGTTAATCCCGCCCGTCCCTCTCCCCGGCCAGGAGCCCATTGGCTCTCACGGGGCAGGTGGCTGTGCTGGAGGCCAAGGGGGTGGCGTCCCTACTGTGTCAACCCGGCTAGCAAGCAGGAAACGGAGGATGGGAAATGCGGGGTCAGGGAGGAGACAAGCTATTAAGTGGTCATCTTCCTCCTGCCAGCTGTCACAAGAGCGGCGTCCTAGTCCTCCTCCTAGCCTCGTCTGGGGCTTTCATCTTCTCCCTTGTGAACCAGAACTCGCATTCATACATATATACATGCCAGGCCCTTTGTATTCGAGATGCTGCTGCCGATAATGATGTCTGTGCCTGCCTGCGTCGGGAAGGGAGCCGTGCGCACGCCCAGATGGCCTGTGATTTGTAAGCCGGCTCTCTCTGCAGAGTCAGGCAGCTTCTGTGACATGGGCTTTCGCCTTCAGAGACACCCCAAGGTCTCCGCTCAAAGGCAGCCACTGATGTCAGGAGACTCCCCTTTGCTGCTCAGCGCCCTGGGCCTGGCTCACTTTCATCAGGTGTCTGCAGCTCCCCAGCAGGTGCTTACATTGTTCAGGGAGTAAAATCAGGCCAAGCTCCAGCTGCGTCTTCCCCGCCACGCGGCCTGCACTCTGGAGCCCCGGGAAGGACGGTGCCCAACTCCAGCCCAGGCCAGGTGCCCCTTTGGGATGCTGATGGCCCCCACCCCACATCAAGATTTTCTAGTTAACCTTTGTGCGCCAGCTGCCAGGTCTCCAAAGGAAAGCCGACCAGGACAGTGGTGGACCGGATCATTTCCGTTTCACTAGACAGGCCTCAGGTTCACTGGGCAGAAATGAACTCTGCGGGCCTGGGTTTCTAGACCTTGTCTCCCGTGCCCCAAAGTGTTGCTGAGCCCCGGGGTCGGGGCAGGGGGACAGGGTGGCAGGACTTACACCAGAAGAAGATGAGCACGTTGGTTACAGCTGTGAGCAGGGCGCGGCTCAGGCGGCAGCCAACACCCATGCGGGGCCGCGAGGACTCCAGGCAGACCACCTTGTCCACCGTGGTCACCAGCTCAGACGGGTCCTCCCCTTTCAACCTGAGACGGGACACAGGGCTGTAAACAGGCTCAAAAGCCCCGAGGAGCCACCGTAGAAGTCTCCCTTTCAGCAGAAAGAGGAGGAAGGAGGGGGCTGGGAAGCCTCCACTTGCTGATAAATAGGCTTGGTACCCTGACTGCACTCTTTCCAGAAATTTCCCACGTTGGCTACTTAGAAAGAATAAAGCTTTAAAGACGGCAGCAGGCTTGAACCCCTGCCGCTAAAGTGACGCCCCCCTCTGTTGGGTCGTTGACAACCCCTCTCAGCGTGTGGAAGATTAAACTGTAAATTGGATTCCCACCTCCCAGCACAGAGAAATGGAAAGTTTACGGAATCGCTGGCTTTGCGAGGCATGGGGAGGGACTGAAAGAGTCTGGGAGGGGGTGCTTCTCCTTGGCGATGAGGAGGCTCGTCAGCTGTTTAAGTGCAGAGGCCACGGGGCGCCACAAGGCCCTGGAGCACGAAGAGGACCGGCTCCCAGAGGCCAGACCCCAGCCCCAGCGAGGGGGGCAGTGGGACGCTGGGAGACGCCACCGACCCCCGTCCTTCTAGGAAGTGACAAGTCCCTGCTCTGGACGGCACAGTGAACGGCTGGTTCACTTGAACTGTCGGGATTTCTCATGACTGACTTCTTTTTTAAAAAAATGTTTTATGTTGAAGTATATTGATTTACAATATCACGTCAATTACTGCTGTAGAGCAAAGTCCCGCGACCTACTTCTAATGCTTGTCGTGGTGGCCGGGCTCAAGCCAGGCTGCCCCCTCCAACGGGAAAAGGCGGTGTCATCATTCGTGGGTTGGCAGCTTCAGCGTGTGCTGCCGAGGATAAAAATCCGTGTTCTTTGCCTTTTCTAACACTCGGGAAAATCACTCAGCCACTCAGGGAAGCTTTATTATTATTATTTTTTAAAGCCAATGAATTCTAATGCCATGCATCCAGTTATCAAGCTTCAGGCTCAGCTGCCCGAGGGGCTTCTGCTGGCTGCACTGCTGATGGAATTAGTAATTTGAGTGGATTAGAGAGGAAGAGAACAAAACCCCAGAGTGTGCTTTAATATCAGCAGCTGTAACCTGAACAGAGGCCTGACAAACCCTGAGGAGTGGGGGGTGCCGAGGCAGGGTCTCCCCAGCAGGGGACTCCCGAGTCTGCAAGTGGCTGGTGCCCCCACCCCTAGGCTGAGGAGCCGGTCGGGGGCCTTGCAGGAGGGTGAAGAGGGCACTGTTTCTGTGAATCATGCTCGCCAGGGACAGAACAGGCCAAACCGCCCAGCTGGAATAAAACCCGGTCTCTCCATTTACAGTTTCCATACTGAGTGAAACCATACAGAATTGCCTCATCTGCAAATGAAAACTAGCACCAAGGAAAGACAGAGCAGAAAAATGCCTTCTCCAGCAAACCACAGGGCCCAGCCTGGGTTACTTGAAACAGGTGTAGCTGGACTGCCAGGCAGTCACCCTGACACCTGGATTTTCACGTCTCATCCTAAACTGCTCCTTCCGTGGCATTGCTGACCCTTCTCTCTATGCTGCCCAGCTTCAGGCCTGGCCCTTGACGACTCAGCTGGGAGACCTGGCCTCCACCTCCGGACCCCAGATGCCAGAGCCGCCGGGCAAGGACAGGGTCTCACTCACCAGATGCCCACGTCCTTGTTACTGCTCAGTATCCAGGTCAGCGCGGCTTCAAACTTGGTGGAGGAGCTGCTGGTCACGTTCTGTGGGAGGGGGCAGGGAGATTAGCGCTCCATCTAGGCAGAGCAGCGGGAACGCAACAGTCCTGCTGGGTTGCGGAAGCCCCCTCCGTGTCCCCCGCGTGCCCCCAAGCCCTGCTCCGCTAAACGCAGAGCAAACTGGCGGGATGGCGATCTGGGGCAGATGATCCCAGAGAAGCAGCTGTTGGAGGAGGTGATGAGGAAGTGTGCACGGGAAAACGGGGCAGGTCTGCGGCAGCTAGAGGAATGCAATTTCCTCAAGGATGGCGGCGCCAGGCCAGAGAGCTGGCAGCTCATTTGGAGGGACGTGGAAGAAAACGTGGGGGTGGGGGCCCTCCCTGCGGCCACAGCTGGCCGTGTGGCCTCGGGCAAAGGCCCTCCCCTCTCCGGGCCCCAGCTGCTTCATCTGTGAAAGGAAAGCTGGACGAGGTGACCCCTTGGGTTTCTGCCAGTTCCAGAAACCTACAATTCTGTCATCCTGAGGCCACATCGAAAATCAAATGGACCCGAAGCAACCCACACGGTGATCCTGAGGGGAAGTGGAATGGCAGGTGACATGTCCTAATCAAGCTGCTGCGAGAGGAAAATGAGCCAGAAGAGTGAGCCCAGGGCCGCTCCAGGAAGGGGCAGGGCAGCGGCCCGGCCAGCTGGAGGGGGCAGCAGGTCAGGAGCGAGCTGCCTGCAGGCCGGCCCCGGCTCTCAGCTCACCCTGGGCCCAGTCACCCCACTGCTGCCTTAACTTCAGGGAGCTGAGCACTCAACTGCGTTTAAAAAAAAAAAGAACTTTTTTTTTTTAAAAAACGGGAAAGCAAACAAGCCAAAAAGCAAACACAAAATGAGGAAAATAAAACAAAACAAAACACAGGGCTTGAAAGATCAATACAGAAGCACCAGGACCTCCGGGGAATGGACGCACACGCCAGCCTACTTACTGCTATATATTCCTGGGCTTCCATGACAGGAATGCACTTGCTCTTTAGCTTCTCTGGATTTCCACATTCAAAATTACCTAGGAGGGGGAAAAACACACATTCAAACACAAAGAGGTGAAAAAAATGTACCTGGCAACCGACTGAACACGGCAGCAAGAATCAAGCCATCAGCTCTGACGGGGAGCGTGTGGCCCGCCGGCCCTGACAGCTGTGGGGCATCTTCACTGTGCAGCAAGATCAAAAGCCACTTAGCTTGGATCGAGGCCAGATCATTAAAACCTGACCTGCAAAGCAGTGCAGCGATTTGCATTAAATGACTAAAAAGCTGCCCAATACCAAGGTCTGTTTGCAATTGATCCCTAAAAGGATCAGACAGACAGCTCTGGAAGGTACTGGGATGGGACTATAAATAGACGCAGTCTGGGAAAAAGAAAGGCAGGGAGGCCACTGCACTGCAGGGTTTCTGACTCATGGCACAGGCTGGTGACCTAGAATGCCAGGTTTTGAGGGGCCCTGGGGAGCGATGGCCAAGGAAGAAGAGGTGTCCGTGTGCTGGGACCCCGGCCCGGTGCTCCAAAGCCCTCTGCCGAGCACCTTGGGCAGCCGGCTCTCACTTAGGGTGGAGCTGGGAGCCTCGCCCTTCGTCCGGCCCAGGCTTCCAGGCCTGGCCCATGGACCAGCCCATCTGAAAACACCGCAGCCATTGGGGCTTCGTTTAGCCAGAAGGCTGGCCCTGGGGCCCTGCCACAGCTCTTAGCTCCCAATGGCCCGCTGTGGCTCACCCACCAGCAGCTGCTTTGCCACGAGACCCCGCGGGAGCAGGGACTGTGCGACGCTGGGCCTTAACCCCTCACCGGCCTGACTGTCCTCAGCCTGGCACAGCCTGGGCCCCAGAGGGCCAGTCTGTATGTATGTGTCTGTGTGCTGGGGAGAGAGCGGCTGAAGATAACATTACAAAATCCTGAGAATGAACTGAAGCCTGCTCCTCGTCCCCCAGCAGCCAGATCTTCTTACTTCAAAGCTGGCCTCGTCCTTCCAGGCCCCCCCGAGACCCAGCTGGCTTCTCCCGTGCTCCCGCCCGACCCCAGACTGCTCTGCCCTGCTCAGGGCCGCTGGGACCACTGCCAAGGTCTCCTGGTTTCCTCCTCTCCCCTTTCTCATCCACGTTTGGTCAAGCTTTAAAATGATCCTGCTTAGATGACACTCTTCCACTCAAAGCGCTGCCTTCCTGCACCTGGCTCCCTGTCAATCCCCTGCTCCAAGCCTCCCTGCCTGCAGGATGGAGCCGCAATGGCCTGGCAACCATGGCTGACTGGGTGAGACTCACTCACACTCCCTGTTTCTCCTTCCTCATGCAGCTAACTGCTTCCATCCCCGACTCTGCCTCTTTGGCCCTGCCTTTCCCCAACAAATACGTACCTAGTCCCACCTGGACTTGAAGGCCTGGCACAGAGGCCCCCTCCCCTGTGACACTTTCCTGACCGCTCCAGCTAAAAGACACTGTGCCTCCCATAACTTCTAGCCTCTTGGTTCCCATCCACCAGCATTTTATATCACCCCGTGGTCAGCAGCGTGGGTAGCCTGTCTCTTCTACTGGACCACAGTCTGTGGACAGGATCCTTGAGTCACCTTGCATCCTGCAAAGGCCAGCTCAGTGCCCTGTCCATAGCTGACCTCCAACAGGAGGTAGGGGATGGAGTACGGCCAGAGAGGCTGCACTCCTCTGCAGCCTGTCTCGGTGAGAGGCAAACCCTCAGAAGACAGCGGGTACCAGGCCCCCTGCTGACAAGAGCCAGGAGCACACAGGAGGATGGGAGGGGAGAACTGCCTATTAGGATCCATAGTTTAAGAGCGGAGCTCCTCAACGTTACCTCCTGGGGGCCTCAGTAAACCTCAGACTTTGATGCAATAGGTTTGAGATGAGCCCGAGATGCTGCATTTCCAATAAGCTCCTGGGTGACACTGATGCTGCTGTCCTCGGACTACAACTGAGCCACAAAGGTTTCAAACACGCCCTCCGGCCAGAATTTACATGCCACACACCTGGGCTGTAACTGACCATGATGCTCTGAGCCCCAACCCCGCCTCTCCTCCAGGGAGCTCACAGAGGCCCCCGCGACCAGCCCGGTCCCCCACAGTCAGGAGGGAGGAGGTGCGGAGCTGAGGCCCACAGGCTTGGCCCCAAGGGCCGAGTATCAGTCCACTCAACCTTGACCTCCCGGCGACAATCTTAGACAAGGGCTGGCCCTGCAGGTGAGCGGCGCCCCTCGAACCTCCCGCAGACTGACGTCTGGTTTTTGTGATGAGGACCCTTAACACAGGCACACGCCCTGAGCAGACCCTTGTCATCAGTGGTTCTGAGAGCCTCCTGGATACCAGGAGAGGACACAGTATAATGGTGCCACCTCGGGCCTCAAGGAACACGTTTACCAATGGAAACAGTGGCAGAGATTCCGACGGCGGTATCTCCAGGGGGTGTCTTGGGAGAGGGTTGAGAAGGCCCTCCTCTAGGGAGCAGCACTTGGTTTTCATTTAGTTAAGAAAACAGACCTAAGATCACTCAGTCAAATGGGGAGACTGAGGCCCTGAGATGTCAGGGACTGGTCCAGCATCCCACAGCCAGGGGGGACACTTGGGATCCGTGACACCAAGACCCTGGAGGGCAGGACGGGCCTGAAGGTGCTCGGTCCACCACCCAGACCACGTGCTGCCTGCAGAAGCCTCTGCGCCTGAGCAGGCCGACCTGGGACAGGGAGGCCCTCCAGGTCGGGAGTCCTAGACTCTGAGATGGCCTGGGGCCAGGTCCCTTCTAACGCAGCACGGACCCCCAGAACACCAGGTGGAGGGCGCTCCAGAGAACGGGGTGACCTGCTCAAAGACCTATGCATGCGCCCGGACCCCCGGGGCCTTCAGGAATCTGCGTTTTGCTTGGCTGCAAGGCTTACACGGGATGTGCCTGTGGGGGATGTGGGGAAGGTGAGGCATGTCTTCCGGGAGACACCCACGGCTCCTCGGCCTTGGCCCGCAGCCCGCTGAGAAGGCGCGTGCCTGGGGAAACGTACTCACCCGCCTGGATGGCCAGGAAGTTGTAGAGCTCGTGCAGCAGCTCCAGCAGGGCCGCCTTCTGCTTGGCCTGACAGAACTGGAAGGGCACAGGACACGCGGTCAGCAAGGCGCGTGGGCGAGGGGCCTGGCTGCCTGCCGTCATCTCCTCAGCCACCCCGAGAGCTAGGCCGCAAGGACAGCCCAAAACCAAACACCCAAAACCACGACGACAGCAAATGCTGCCAAGAGGTGGGCCCAGGAGTCGGGTCGACAAATACCAGGTTGACTGACTGCAAAGAACGCCATGGAAGCACAGGCAGACTGACGGCAGACACGGCGACAGCCGAGGGCCCGACATTCTGCAGGCTCCCAGGCCCCGGCGCCCGCTGGGATAAAGGCCACTAGCCGTGGGGGGCGGGCGGCACCCGCCTCCTCGGAGGGCAAAGCCAATGCCGCACTATGCGGTCTGGTCTCCCCTGGGGACGCTCCCGTCACGTTTTTGGAGAGTCAAGTATATACAGTCTGCCTGTGAGTTATCTACTTTGTGTATTGCCTGCTGCAAATGTTTAATCTTAGATTCTTCTAGAAATGGAAAATTTAGAGGAATCTAAGCTGTCGGGAGGAAAATGTCACCTGTGGGAAGAGGCACACCTGTGCACCCACTCCCGCAGCACTCGTGACAGCAGGGACACCATTCAGCTAGACTCGCTGCATTTGGAACATGTAAAAAGGCTGCTTTTCTTTGTGCGTGGATGACAGGCTGGGGTGCGGAGTGGTCTCTATGTGAACCCTGAATCCTTACCACATCCCTCCCTGTAACCCGATTTCTCAGCTGAGTGGCCCAAAGTTTAGAGACCAGAAGTGGCCACTAAGATCCCATAGCTCGTAGGTGGAGGAGCCGCATGGGAGTGTCGCCAGTGGACTCCAAGCGCACTCCCCCGCTCCAGACCGCTTCCAGGCTGTCACCCGGCACAGCCCTGGACCGGAAGTCAGAGGTCTGGGCTCTAGACCGGGCTCTGCAGCTAGGCAAGAAACCAAGATCGTTTTCCTTCTCGGGGCTCATGTGCTGCCCTGATCCAATTTGGTTTTGAATAGTCTCAGCTGCCGAGCTTTGTCCCTTCATGTGGCCTAAAGGCCCTAATGACTTAACAAGGTACCAAACGATGTAACCAAGATGTACGCACGAGACTATGAATGTCCAAAACAACTCACGTGCCTACTGGCAGAGTCAGAAACCCCAACTACTTTTTAAAGACGATTTAATGATATTGACAAAGCTGATAATTGTCAAATATAACTAAATATACAGAGATCCCAATTCTATAAACACATACATACACAGAGAGAGAAGGTAGGAGGAGAAGCTCCCCAAACATTAATGGTGATTATCACTAGGTGTCAGACCCAAGGGTGATTCTTGTCCTATTTTTCGAACTTGCAACACATCGTTGTCACAATTGTGAAAATAAGCAGGAGCAATTATGCTGTTCCGAACTCACATTTAGGCAAAGCAAGGCTGAAAGGACAGGAGGTACCAGACCATGTGACAGCCTGATTGAGATAACACACCCACTGCCAGCCCATCCCTAGGGTTTCCACAAGACAAAAGCAGAAAGCATGACAAGACTTGCAGAGAGCTGAGACGGAGGAAAAAACACCTGTCTCTAAAACCCAAATGCCCCTCTGGGTTTTGGGTGAGCTCGAGCCACAGAAAGTGTGAGGCTTTCAACAAGAAACTCACTCAAACTGAGAAGTGCCCCCCCGAGCTGCCTGCTCCCACGCGCATCCTCCCCGAAGGCTGAGCGTGCCCCACAGAACCCAGCACCGAGCCCGCAGGGAGCCTGCGATGTCCTGGGCGGGGACCCGCCTGGCCAGGCGGGGGCACGTCTTCAGCGAGGAGCTGGATGGTGCGTGATGGCTCAGGCACTGTGGATGAGCGCATCCCCCCACCGAGGATGACCCAGGAGGGAATCTGCCCTCCGTCATGGGTCTGACGTACTCACAGGTGTGCAGGGCCAAGAACGGAAACCAGGGAACCCGTTTCTAAATAGAAGACAAGCGAAACTAGTATCGCCAGAGAAGTCTCGCAGAAATGAAATTTTTGTTCCCGTTTGTTTTCTGTCTTGAAAAGTCTAGTTTCCCCTTCTGGCCATGTTTCTGGGCCACTTCCTTTAATCATCAACTGCAGTTTTTACGATAGAAGGCAGATTATACTTATTCTGAGTCTGTTTTTATAAAACAGTAGGGAAGCAAAGATATCTGGTGGATGAAAGCAATAAATACGTGTAATAAAAACACCCCCAAACATGACACAGCAGAAGCCGAAGAGAAATAAAACCGCTTGTCTGCATCAGGATGCCACTTCATTAACGTGGGTAACGTGGGCCTGGGGATGAGTGTGTGTGACTCCTTTCCCGGCCTTCTCCCCCTGCCCCCAACTGCCAGAGATGTGCCTTGAGGGCTGGGGGAGGCCTGGAGTTGCACACTTAATAATTAGACTACTAAGTCATGCCCTCTGGCAGCACAAGGCTCTGCCTGGCAGGATTTATGACTTGAAAATTTACAGTCTCTATCTTCCCCAGACTACTACCTGTACTTGTGGGCTCCCAGCTCCTTGCTAATGCCATTTTCATGACTCGTAAATGGACAGGGCGGCTCACCGTCCCCAAGTATTATTTGTAGGGAACATTAAAGTGTCACAAAACCAATCTATAGACTAAGAGAACTAACTCCACTTCAGATGTGTTTAAAACAACCCCTTGATGACGTTTCAAATCAGAACAGCACTTTCAGAGCCAGAGAGGAACGACCTGAGAATGTGGAATTGAGAACCTGGCCTCCTGGCACTTAAAAAGCTGCCCGCCCTCTCTCCCAAAGCCAGGGAGCTTGAGAGGTCCCTCAACCACCACCCACCACATCCCCCCCAGACAGACTTAGGCAGAAGATCAAAGTCCTCGATGCTGCGATTGATGGGAGAGCTCCTATAACAAGTCAGGGGTTGGATCTTGGGAGCTCAAATTCTGTTTCAAGTACTCCTTCACTGCCACAATTGAGTCTGACACGTACATCACAGAAGACGATATGGTTCTGGTATGTTGCAGGAAGCACTCCTGAAAATGATCCTTTTATGATCTTTTTCTGGGCAAGTTTACCTCCCAATGGAGGCTAATGTCCTTGGGAGGAATAGTGAAAGCTAGAAAAACTCAAACTCACCTCATCTGTTTTTGTCTCACAGTCCACTGGCAGTAATTTCACTGAGACCAAGAAAAGAAATAGAGGAAATTAAAAGTGTGGGTTTTGGAAAAGGGTACAAAAAGGGATCATTCTCAAAATTCAGAGGAAGTAAAACATTATCAACAAAAAGGTGGGGATTAGAAGGATATCCTCTAAATGAAGCATTTTAAAAATGTAGGCAGTAAAATGTAAAGGGGTTCTCAGTCCTGGATTAAGAATTAGGACACCTGTTTTCTAATCTCAGGGGAAAATGATTAGCCACAGGATATCGGGTAACTACTCACTTAACCACTCTGAACCTCTGGTTTCTTCATCATAACATGGGATCACTAAAGCCTTCCTAGCTTAATTTAGACTCATTGTCAAACAAGACAACATATATGGTGGTTCTATAAACTGTAAACAGTGTTATGTTAAACATGATTAATACCATCATGGGAGGCGAATTCCAGGTAAATTCCCCGTATTTATCCAAGAGCTGTTGCTTAAAGTATCTCAGCAATGAGTATGACAGTATACTGTTTTTAACATCACCAATGTAGTTACAGTTAGAACCAGTACAGTACCATGACACTCCTGGGTCTATTTAATTTCTCCAGCAAGTGGACAACCTGCTCTCGTAGTCAAGAAATTATCTGAGTGTGTGCGTAAGTCTGGGATCCCCGCGCCCACAGACTTCCTCATACACCCAAATATCCATCTGCTGCAACGGCTAAGACATAATTTAGCTTTTCCCTGCATTTTGTCTGTTCATGCTAGGCATGGAAAAATGTGGCCTGGGCTCAAGGCTAGGAATAGTATTAATCACATTCGTTCTTTGTAAAGAATATTAAAAGCTGGTGAACTAAAGGGTCACTTTATACTTAAATTTATACAGAAATGATCGCTCTGCTGTTTCCTATTAGCCTAGAACCTAGAGAATTCTGGAAGAAGCAAATTTCCCTTTTAGAAAACACACAGATCCTTAACTATTCGTTAACATACTGTATCTGGCAGATCTCATTCTGCCCTGTCTCATCACAGAACTAACTGGACAGAGGCATGGCTGGGAATATCCTTGAGTCACAGGACCCTCTCTTAACACATTCCATGAAAGTGCTGGAAACAGTGGTAAATGCCACCATTTACATCAGTTTAAACTCTTTAAAGGCTCTCTCACGCCTGTCTGGGGCAGGATTCATATATCTCCTTTTGACATCCAGTGGGTCCCCTGGGTCAAAGAAGAGGAGGATGTGGTCTTTTTGGTGCTGCGAAGCTGGGACCCCAATCAGAACCTATCTCTGAGCGGGTGACCTGGGGCACTAGCATGTGAATGAGCAAGAAATCAAAAGAGAGGGCAGAACTCAAAAGGAGTGGGGGTGGGCCTTTAGAGGGTTGTGTTAGAGGGCTTTCTCTAGAGAGGGAAAAGTAAAAGTGACTACGGAAAGACTGCTTCCAGCACGTGGTGGAAAGAGAGGGCTAGGGCCGAGAGTAAGAATAGGAAGGAGTGAAGACAGAAATGATTGCAGATGCAGGAATCCCACAGCTGGAGGAAGGAGTCTTAAGTCTGGAGGGAAGAAGTTGGCTAGAGGTATCTAACAGGCCCGGGACGTGCGGCCTGGCGCTGAGAGGTCCGGGGGTCGTTTCGGGGACACCCGCGCGCCCAGCGCCCTCCCCTGCGCCGGCCCGGGACGTACTGTTGTCCTCCGCCTCCTGCGGCGCCGAGGGCTTGCCCATCTTCACCCAGAGGATGCCCAGGAAGACGAGCAGCAGCCCCAGGCTGGCCCAGAGCAGGAGCCGTGACAGGCAGCGCTCCAGCCGCCGCCCCGCTTCGGGCNCTACGTGTGGCCATGATGGTGAGGTCAGGCTCGGCCTCCCAGGGCCACCATATTGGGGAGGTCTGAGGGCTTTTTTGGCGGGTTTTGTTTTTGGTTTTCTTTTCTCTTTCCCAACTTGCTCACTCCTTTTCCCTGCAAGACCAAGTGTTCTTTCTCTCTGAATCCTCCACCCTTTGGTTGGGTGGAGGCATGGTGGTGGTAGTGTTAGGGAAGTAGTAGTTAGAATAGGGAAAAGGAGTCCGAAGAGACAAAACCTGATGTCAGGTGAGTGTAAGCTCCTCTGTTTTTGCCTCATCAAACAAAGATTTGGAGTGACGGACATTAAAGCCCCCTCGGCGTGTTACAGCTCTCGGGTCTTGGATAGACCGTGTTATACCTCTCAGGTCTCCAACGGACCGTGTTATAGCTCTTAGGTAAATCAGTGTTACAGCTCTATTTTATTTTGGTAATAGCAGGACAATCCATATTCCAGGCATGAGGGCACGTAGATCCAAAGACGCGAAGACAAGAGTGCCCCATGGCGCGGGAGAGAGAGAGAGAAGAGAGCTTTGGCTCCTCTTTTTATGTGTTTCTCTCTCCCTGGGCCTGTCCTATGTAAATTGGGCCAGGCAGGAGTGCTGTTTGTTTTACCTGAGGTTCTCACTCCAGTCCTCCGACCTTCCTTTGTTCTATTTTTGTAGGCTTTTCCCTTCCAGGTCTTTTAAGCACTGCCATTCTGGACTCCTTTTCCCTATTCTAACTACCTAACAGTAGTTTAGCAGCTAAGTTGTGTCCAATTCTTGCGACCCCATGGACTGTAGCTTCCCAGGCTCCTCTGTCCATGGGATTCTCCAGGCAAAAATACTGTACTGAATTGCCATTTCCTTCTCCAGGGGATCTTCCTGACCCAGGAATCGAACCCAGGTCTCCTGCTTTGCAGGCAGATTCTTTACTGACTGAACTAAGAGGGAAGCCATTTGAGGGAAGCATGGTAGGCGCGCAATAAAGTCATGTTGAATTGCTTAATGGTGACAGAACATTACCTGCCATATCAGTAAACAAGGATCTAGCCACCACCTTACAGCCAGCCCCATTGGTGAGCCCTGAGGGAACAAACGCAGGGTGGAAACAAGGAATGCCCACCATCTAGCAGTCATCAAAGTGCAGCCACCCTCAAGGTGCAGCTTGAGGAAACTTTGGATGAGAAAACACAGGATACTAGCTCCAGATAACTGAGGTACATATCAAAGGAATGATTTCAGTGAGCTTAGCTTCTTGTATCTTCCCAAACATAGAAAAGTGCTAAATCTCTTAATTTGAGATATCTGGTTTTCTTTTATTGACAGTAATCTTTTGTCCCAACTTCCTGGTATTGTTGCAAAAACTCATATCATGGCTTCCTCTTCTGAACAGTTTTCTCAGGGTTAACTGAGAGGCTGTCTCCTGGGCTTACAGTCCTAAGAACATCCACCAAATAAAACATAACTTTCAACCTTTAGGTTATGCATTTTTTTAGTCAATAATGGTGAAAAGAGGAACCCTGCCAAAAGTGGTGAGACTAGAAACCTCTGCCTCTCTCCGAGCTTGGGGAGGGCTTTGTTTGGGTCATGGAGTAGACCCCAGGGATGCTCTGGGACCCAGTACAACCTAAGGTCATGGTTGGCTGGCCTCTGTGTTTTCCTGGCTTTTCACTCACTGACATTGAGCCCCCAAGTGGGTGCAGGCCCTGCTCTCAGCCAGATGTTAGCCCAAAAGGAGCTCCTGCCATCCCACGACAACACTGCATCCCATCATGAGGGCAGAAAGGCACATGCCCCTGGGCTCTGAGGGGCAGTTCAGGCCAGCGGGAGGAGGCTGTGTGGTCAGATAGTGGGATTTTTATAAGGTGCGATGGGTAGGGGGAGGGGCTTCCCTGGTGGTTCCAATGGTAGAGAATCCGCCTGCAATGCAGAAGACCTGGGTTCGATCCCTGGGTCAGGAAAATCCCCTGGAGAAGGGAATGGCTACCCACCCCAGTATTCTTGCCTAGAGAATTCCATGGAGAGAGTCCATGGGGTCCCAAAGAGTTGGATATGACTGAGCAACTAACACTTTAACTGGGGTAGGGGAAGATTTCAGAGATGTAGTTTTGTGTCGCCTGTGGATTTAGGTAGGGGGTTCTCAAGTCCCAACTCCATCACTAGACGTGTGATCATATCCAATTAACATTTCTAGCCTGTTGGCTAGTAAACCTCATAGGGTTGCTGTGAGGACTGTGTGCGTGCTAAGTCGCTGTGAGGATTAGAAGAGGCAATTTGTATAAGGTGCTCAAGACACTGGGCTTCCCAGGTGGTTCTAGTGGTAAAGAACTGAGGTTGGGAAGATCCCCTGGAGGAGTGCATAATAACCCACTCCAGTATTCTTGCCTAGAGAATCTCATGGACAGAGGAGCCTGATGGGCTCAGTCCATGGGGTCACAAAGAGTCGGACAGGACTGAAGCAACTTAGCATGCACACTCAGGCACATGTGTCATAGTGTTTGTACATAACCCATTTGTCTGCAGCATCAGTGCTGTATGGAAGCTCCCACCTGGCAAGCTGTTTGATTATATGAAGCTCTTAGCAGAGAAACCCCGAAGGGAAGCATGGGGAGTAGTGACAAATGGAAGTAACACTGTGGTTCGTAGTCTTCTTTGAGTCTCCCTCTTCCTCTTTGTATTCCTTCCACATGGATCATCAGCTACCTTTTCCTAACCCTTATTGCCAGCCTCATAAGTTCCATTCCCTGTCTATGCCTCCAGTCCAGTTCTCTCCTTCCCCCAGTCTCCCATTGCCCACCCCCACCTTGTCCCCACCCTGGGTCCCAGTGTTTGCATTCCCACCACTTGCTTTATCACTGGGCATTTATCACTGGTCACACTGGGGGGGACGTGACAGCCCCAACTTGGTCAGGCCGCTGAGTCAGCCTCGCCCCCCCCCCCCAACCCCCGCTTAGCTGCTCCCATGTGGTGTGGTTTCTTTCACCGAGTGTTGTTTTCCTTTCCTCTGCCTGTGTTTGCACGGAATGCCATGAATTTGATATAGTGATTGCCTAACGCACATACCACATAATAGTATTTTCTTTCTTTCTGAAGCACTGTTTGCATGACAAATGAGTTGGTAACATTTGTGCCTCTCCTTGCAGCTGTGCAGTTCAATATATAAAGAATGAGCCTTTCAGCATCAATACTGGCCCTGTGTATTCTAAGAGGGCTTGAAACTGATGCTTAAACAAACTTAATGTTACAGCGTTTTGCAGAGTTACGGTCTATCTCCACACAGTGGATCTTGGCAAGATTTAAAAAGATACTGAAATGGAGCTATGCCCAGAGGTGGTCCCCAGTATGGGCTCTGTCATCTTTCCTTGTGTCTGGGATCCTGGCTGCTGCTACGTACACCCAGGGCCAAGTGACCCACAGCCCTCCTCTAACCCCACCCCAGCCCTGTCTTCCCTCCAGCCTAGAACCCAGCGTGTTTGCAGCAGTTCCTCTACTCCCACCCCCACACTGGTCCACCTCTGCCCCCCTGGGTCTAGCAGGACTTTGGGGGTCATGTGCCAACAATTAGAGCATATTTGCTGATCATGCTTCCCTCCCTCCCATCCCCAAGAAGAAGCCTCACAATCTGAATGAAAAATTCAATCAGGAAAAAAAACCTCGTGAACAAAGAAGTAAAAACCTTAAGGGCCACCGTTCCTCCAAGCCTCGGGCCTCTGCATTCTCCTCCTGAACTCCCCACTCCAGTCCGCCCCCTCCCTCGATTGATAACCCTTCAGTGTCCTTCATTACCGGCTTCAGTGGAGTCAGCGTGGTCTGCCTCCTCCCAGCGGCATTCCCCTGCTTCCATCACTTGGTCTTAGCACTCCTCTGGCACCACTGCCCTGGTCATGTCTTGAGCCGCCCTTAAGGCCCCTCCAGGCCTTCTCGGATCTGCCTGTGTCTCTTGCGATTCTGCTGCTGGGCCTGTATGGGAACACACATTTCCAAGAGCAGGGCAATACTGCAAAGTCAACAGATGTCCTCCGTGCCCTCCTTTCTCATCACTTTGTTGTGGGTTTTTTTTAAATAAGGCAAGCAGCTCGAGCAGCTCAGGCTGTGGTCCGTCTTCTTGATTTATTAAAGGCAAAAGTGGGAAAACAAGCTCCAATGTCTAAATCTACTTTGTAACCACATCCACACATTTAGTGGAGATGAGGGGCCGCTCTGAGGACGCTCTGAATTCCCGGGGGGCTGCCACACTGCTTGCTGTTCTGCTGACCTCTCTCTGCCTTGGCAGAGCCTTGTAATAATAACAGCCATGAATCTTTTAGTGGGTTCCTTTCTCCTTCTCCTCCTGCAAAAAGCCCTACACACATTTATCTGGTCCTTAAAGATGTGCTGGGACCATGGACTTGCCCTTGATCCACCTTGTCCCCAGCCCCAGGATCCCTCTTGGCTATTCTGGGCTTCCTTGAACCACAGCATGGGTGGCGTCACGCTGGGGTGGGGGCCCTGGGAGAGTACGGCTGGAAACAAACAATGTGGGTGTGATTTTTGGCTCAGATGTGGTCTGGGATGGCCCCTGGTCCATCCAACATCTTGCTGCCTTATCTCAGTATCCTGACCTATCTCTCTAGGTCAATGAAGGGGCAAATAGAGTCACAGAGAAGTGTCAGAAAAGGGTCAGTGAGCAGTTATGTCACCTGCTTTTCAACATTGGCTGAAAATTAAACAAAAGTCACTCTTCTGGCCACTTTTACACTTTGATATCTGTGAGTAAGAGTTCCTTT